AACGAGGTTTGGGCCGGGGCACACCTCTGGACACATTCGGGGCCCGCGTTTGGACCATCGTCCGTTTTCCAAGCGACTTTGACATCTTCTGGGCCCATGGAAGCCTCAGGCAGGCTGTGGTCTTCGTCGTCCTCCTCCTCCTGCACCTCCTCCTTCTCCTCCTCCTCCTCCTTCTCCTCCGCCACCTCCTCCTCCTCATCCCCCTCCTCCTCATCGTCTTCCTCGTCCTCCTCGTCCTCCTCATTCCGTGTCGTCAGCGTCGTCGTCGTCGTCGCCCCTTTGCTGGCGCGCGGTCGTCGGTCGTCGGCTGTCGGCCGTCGGTCGTCGGTCGTCGGTCGGTCGGTCGGTCGGTCGGTCGGTCGGTCGGTCGGGGTCGTCGTCGTCTCATTGCCTGGGGAACCACAGAGGATAATTACGCGCCCAGCCACGCACACGAATACGGCGCCCCAGTCTGTGGGACCAGCCTCGTGGCACGAACGCTCGCGCAATGCGCACGCTCGAAGCCAGCGTGGACTCGTGTACGTGTGCAGTTACGTCCTTCCTGCACTCCTTCCGCCTCCTCCTGTGGCCTGCTGCCTCTTGGTGACAGTCTGTTGGGCCGCTTCGCGGCCCACTTGAAACTGCTTCGGTCAAAGAGGCGACCCCCCCCCAAAAAAAGAAGCCTCCTCCTCCGCGCCGCCTCGTCCCCCTGCGCCTCCTCCGCCTCCTCCGCGCCCTCGCTCCTTGTCGTCCGCGTCGTCGTCGTCGTCGTCGGCCTCGGCCTCGGCCTCGGCCTCGGCCTCGGCGTCGGCGTCGTCAGCGTGGTCGGCGCCGTCGCCGTCGTCGTCGTCGCCGCCCACGTCGTCGCCGCCGCTGCCGCCGCCGTCGTCGGCGGCGCCCGCCGTCGGCATCGCCGTCGTCGCCGTCGCCCCCGTTCTGCTGCCGCTGCCGGAGCCCGCCTGTGGTGCCGGCCGCGGCTCGTCGGCGAGGGCGCCGGGGGCGCCGGCGCGTCGTGCTCGCGGGGCTCCGCGCGCAGCAGGTCGACCTGAGGAGGGCCGCGGGGGGGCCCGCCGGGCTCGGGGGGGGCGGCCCCCCCGCGGCCGCGTCCGAGGAGGCCTCCCAGAGTCAAGGGGCCCCCTCGTCCGCGCCCAAGGAGGCCTCCCAGATTCAAGGGGCCCCCTCGGCCGCGTCCGAGGAGGCCTCCCAGAGTCAAGGGGCCCCCTCGTCCGCGTCCAAGGAGGCCTCCCAGATTCAAGGGGCCCCGGGGCACACAAAGAAGTACCCACAAAGTAAAAGGATTCCCCCCATTTTTGTTCCCCATATCTCCTGGGTTTTGTGTTGCCTTCCCGCCCACTTCCCATATGTTCCCATATTTTCTGGGAGATCGACGATTCATTGTGTCTGTGTGTGTTTCCCCCTCCTGAGAGATGGGGTCCGAGTGTATGGGGTCGGCGGATCGCGCCGCAGCGCCAATGCATCGCCGATGCATCGGCGAGGCATCGGTGGCGTCGGCGTGAAGCAAATCGGGCCCTCGGCGAAGAGGCGCGATCCTCCGGACCCATCTACTCCGACCTCATCGCCGTCGCCGTCGCCGTCGCTCGAGTAGGAGGTCGACTACATGATCGACCCTAAAATTGAAATGCGCGTCGAATCTACGATATACGTGGAAGGCACCGCTAATCTACGAATGTTCTGAGCAGTCTTTGTTGAAGCGACCGAAAGAGACAAACTGGGGGTAAACAAATTCTGCAGTCGATCACCTCCTCTGGTCTCGCCCGCGTCCCGAGCAGGTGGCGCCCCGGAGAGGCTCGAAGCGGCCGGCATCCCCCCCTTGTGGGCCCTTGGCTGCCAGAATTCGGAGCCAGGGACCGTCGAGCAGGCATGTGGGGACATCAACCGAGGAGGGCCTGGTGGTTCGGGTGCTGGGAAAGAGCACGTCGAGATATCGATCAAGACGGGCCCAGTGATTCGGGGGCTGGGAGAGAGCGCATTTTTCCCTGACTGAGCGTGCCCTGGCTGAGCGTTCCCTGCCGGGTCTTTGTGGCGCTGCCGCGCTGCCTGCTTGGATCCCGCCCAGCCTGCTGGATCCCATGCCTGCGGATGACACTGACAACGACGCTCACAAGTCAATCTGCTGTGTGGTGGAGGACGCCTCTGGATCCTGGTGGCGCCTCTGCAGTCTCAACCAACAAAAATGTGACATCTTTGCGCAGCCAAACAGCTTGGCAAGATGCAACTGTGAATCTCCAGCCTGAAGCGCTTCAGCAGAACTGTAGAAGGCTTCTTCCTGAAAAGAGCCTCGCCCCTTTGTTCTGGTGGTGGGGGGAACAGGTCATCCTCCCCCAGCCCTTATCCCAACCCCTGCGTCTCAAATCCTTAGATGGCAACTCCTAGAAAGTATTGGTGGAAACGGTTGAGAATTACTCAGCCGAACTGCTTGGCAACGAAAGTGGGTCAAACCTGATAAACCCAACAACTCAGCCACAATTAAAAACCAGGCAGAGCTGGACTGAGCCAGTGGGTCCCGAAACTACCAAGGCCGATGCAAAATTCAACCCCCGAGGATTGCAATATGACCACGCTTTTCATCTATGTCCACTATGTTTTGTGATAGGCAGGCATCATGAAACCGAACCACAGCAAGCGTCAACGCAGAAACTATCACACAATTCGGCCAAGACCTGAAACAACGAGCGGAAAACGGAGGTAACCAATGTTTGAGAGAGCGCGTTTCACGGGCGCTTGCCTTGGGAACAATCGGCGGCGCGTTTCGAAACGGGGGGCCCCCCCCAACACCCGGCGCCGTCAATCAAAACCAGAGGGGGCTCACCTCCCCACCCCCCCCCCCTCCCCGACCCCCTCCCCTCCCAAGGGGTGGAGGGGGTTCAAAACCCCCCCTCTCGTCGCCGGCGCCGGCGCCAGCGCTGGCGGCCGCCAGCAGCGCCGACGGCGGGGATGCAGCGACGATGACCAGAGGCAGCCCAAACGGGGGGAAGTTCAAACCCCCCCCCCTGGCGCCGGCGCGCCTGGCGGCGGCGAACAGCGCAGGCGCTGGCGCCGGCGACGGCGGGGACGCAGCGACGATTGCCACCACTACCACCACCACCACTACCAACACCACCACCGCCTCAACCCATCACCACCACACCACCACCACCACCACTCAACCCACCACCACCACCACCACCACCGCCTCAACCCCCCACACAACCACCACTACCACCAAAGCCACCACCACCACCACAGCCACCACCACCACAACTCACCATCACCACAAAAACCCACCACCACTACCACCACCACCACCACCACAATCTACCACAACTCAACATCACCACAAAACCACCACCACCACCACCACCACCACCACCCACCACCACAACCAGCACCACCACAACAAACCACCATACCACCACCACCAAAACTACCGCCACCGCCACAACAACGCTCCCCGCCGCCGCCGCCCGCCGCCGCAGGCGCCGGCGCCAGCTCAGAAAACGAAATCAGCGTCCCCGCTGCAGCCTCTAGCCGCCGCCGACGCAGGCGCTGGCCCGAGGAGAAGAAGAGAGGAGAAATAACGGGGGGGGGGTCGAACCCCCCTCCCTCCGTCACGGGACGGGGTGGGGGGGGGTCCGGTTCCAACCCCCCCCCCTCCAACCGACCGACCACAGAACGCGCTCTGGCCAATGTTTACCCTATGGCATTGCGTAATACTGGTTCGACTGAAGTTCCCTCTCCGTTCTTGAGTTGTCCAGTGCCTTACGAGCAAGACAATCAGCGTGCGCACAAGGCTGCCATGATAGAGCCATCTGCCTTCGGGTATAGGCGCCACAGCCGTTACACGGCACGATGGCCTCGAAACTCCCACGAGCCTGGACAACCCCCCACACATAGGGGAACGAAAAATTACATAAGCATAAAAACTCTGAGGTCCGCGCGGATTTCTCGGATCCGCGCTGGATCCCCCTGGCAGCGCTTCTGGCGCCGCCCCAGGGAAGGGGGTCCAGCTGCGATCCGAAAAATCCGCGCGGACCTCCGAGTGTTTGTATTTATGCCACTTCTTGTTCCCCTAACAACGGCGACCACCCCAAACCCCGACGGGAACGAACGACCCAGAACCGATGGGAGCCGCCCGCGCTGGCGGCAGGCCTCGGCGCTCCGCGCATGGGTGGACAAAAACTTTGGCCCGAGCGGCCCTCGAGTCCCACACCTGAGCATCCCCAGCTGCTCGCCCGAGCCTTTCCGAGGCGTGCTCATTCCGTTGTGGGAGCTCTGGGGCACTAGCTGGCTTCCCTGCGCGGCCCCGCGACCACCTGGCAGCCGCACCGTGCCGGGTCGGTCAAGGTCCGCGAGCCTATTCGCGCCACTTCACGCTGGAGGAGGAGCTCGGGAGGCCGCTTCGTGGGCCGCCGCGAAGCTGGCCTCACATTCCGAAGGCCCCCCTGCGAGCTCCGGGCTTGCTCCCGCGTTGGCACTGGCTCGCCCCTGCCAACGCGGCACGATACCACGATGCGCGGGATCTGCGTCCACACCGGGCAGGGAATCTCGCGCCGCACGTCGCACGTGGAGCCAAAACTCCGTCCCACTCCTCATCCTCACATCCTTCGTCTTCCCCCCTGTTCTTCCCATCCTCCTGACACGTTTCAGGATCGTCAGAACGCAACAGTAATGTTGGTCCGTGGCATTCAAGTCCCAGGAATGGTGTTCTGGCACGGTTCAGGATTAGCAGACGGTTGTCTTCCAACGGGGCACTTCCCTCAGTGAACATCAATCCTTCCAGGGACCTATGAAGAGGGAACTTGGCAGGAGGGCTCTTATCTTTCTTGCAGACTTCGGCTCAAGTGCATGGACTGCCTGTGCCATACGTCTCCGGAGACAGATTGGCGGCGCTGTGCGCTATGTAAAACCGTTGGAACCACAGGGGGAGGGGAGGAGAGGGCCGGCAGAGGAGGAGGAAGAGAAAGCGTTCAGAAGAGCTCTCAGACCCGTGTCCAAGGCGACGACCTCGGCCTCGAAGGCGCTCTTGCAGCTTTGGAGGTATGCGCCCCCGGTGGCCATTAAGGCGCCGCTCTCGTCATTCATGTCCAGGAGAACGTACGCAGAGGCTCCGATGCCAGACGAGAACCCGCCGTCGCAGCAGGACATCAGACGCGATGGGTCGCTCTGGACGGAAGTAACCTCCTGCCAGGACCACGAGACCTTGCTCTCGAGGACGTGGTTTGCAATGTGGTCGGCTACATTGTTGTGACGGCGCGGCTGCCACTGCACGATGTTGGCCGTCGTGGTTTGAGGCCCCCAACCCCGCCCTGAGAGAGCAGCCAGGTTGCAGAGAATCCGCACAAAAGCCGGACGGGATGAGTCATCTGTCAGCACCGCGTGTCCGTTGACCAAGTCGGCAACGGTTTGGTGATCAACCCGGATCATGATTCGTCGCCCACCGTGGTCCCAATGTTCATGAGTAGGGTACCGGCACAAAGAGGGGATGTTGTCCATCGTGCGGGCAATGCGTTCTTCTCCAAGCCACTCTGCACCTGGACCAGCGGGATTGGATGCTTGGGGGAGATACCAGGCTGCGCACAAGGTCTCTGCGAACTTCCTAAAGTGTTTCATCCAGTCATTGAGGGTGTCGCAGGTGTGAAGCATACTCCGCCAATGCAAACCGAAAGCGACGCAGAACGGGGCATCCCAATGGGATCGCACTGCGCCGCGGTTTTGATGAGTCCTGGGTTTTAACTGGTCCTCCTCCTCCTCCCCCCCGTCCTCCTCCACATCCTCATCTTCCCTCTGGGACCCCTCAGATCCCACGCACGAAGTCCAGTCAGACACCCAGACCAACTGAAGCCTCCAGAACCTCAAATAGCAGAGCCTCTACGTTCCCATCCTCTCTCTCTCTCTCTCCCGTCTATCACCGCACGTCTCGGCATAAGACTCGCGGGCAAGGTAGGCATCGGGATATCCGTTCTGAAGGCGCTCGTTTCGAGCCGTTCGCAGGGGGCTGCAAAAGCTGAACAGGAGACCCAAGTAGCCCCCGGCGCTGAGTCCAGTCTAGGGACCTATAGCACCTCCCCCTCCTTACAGGAAACATTCGAGACCCTTCGGAGACATCCGAACACACTCGAGCACAACTGAAATCGCCCGAACGTCTAAGGAAGCCTCTGAAGCCCTCCTCCTCCTTATCCTGCTCCTCAGGCTCCTCATCTGCCCCCCTGCTCCGACGACGGCGGCGGCGGCGGCGACGAGGACGACGTCGTCGACGACGGAGGCGGCAGCGGCAGCAACGACGGCGACGGCGGCGACGACGACGATCCCCAGACCAGGTCCTTGGACGAGTCATGATCAGAACTTCAAAGAGAGTCCAGCAGGCGGCGACGACGAAGCTTCCCGAGGCGCGGAAGCGCACGAGGGAGCACAACAGCTGCGACCCTCGAGGCGCCCCCAAGAAGGGCGGCGACGGCCCGCAGAACTCCGCTCGAAATCGGCACAGGGAGGCACATCCAGGCCAAGGTGTCGCACTGCGTCCCACCGCGGCGACAAGACCATCCAGCGAAACCGAGACGCGGGCCGTCGTCGTCGTCGTCCCCGTCGTCAGTGGCGTCGTCGGCGGTCTCGTCGTCGTCGGCGTCGTCGCCGGCGTTGGCATCGTCGTCGGTGTTCGTATCGTCGTCGTCGTCGTCGTCGTCGTCGTCGTCGTCGTCGTCGTCGCCGTCGTCTGCGGCGTCGCCGTCGTCGTCGTCATCATCGTCGTCGGTGTCGTCGGCGCCGCCGTCGTCGTCGCCGTCGTCGTCGTCGTCGCCGTCGTCGTCGTCGCCGTCGCCGTCGTCGACGTTGTCGTCGCCGTCGTCGTCGTCGCCGTCGCCGTCGTCGACACGGGCATTGGCGCCGTCGTCGGCGCGGGCGTCCCCGTCGGTGCCGTCGTCGCCGGCGCCGTCGGCGGACGGAGGCTCCGACGGGCGACCCTCGCGCGACCGCGGGGGCGGCGGCCGCGCTGCCCCAGCATACAGGGCAGTTGCTTATGCATAGGATTTCTAATAAAACATAAGATGTTCAATACATGACTAATGTATGAACAAAGTTCTGCATGAACTCATCGTCGTTGTTAATACTGAATCCCTGCATTTTGAAGCCATGATCCGCACGCGGAGCATGTATTCAAAGCGGCACTGTAATCAGGGGAGCAAAGAATGACAGAAGCATAAAAGCTCGGAGTTCCGCGCGGACTCCTCGGGATCGGCGCGGGGGGGCCTCTGGCGGCGCCTCCGGCGCGGCCCCTGGCGCGCTCCGCGCGCCAGGGAGTGGACGCCCCCCCCTCGCGGACGCCTCCCCTCTTGGACGCCCCCTTCTTGGATTCGCGGACGCCCTCCCCTCTCGGACGCCCCCCCTCTCGGACGCCCCCCATCCTGGACGCCCCCCGCCTACTTTGTCACTGCTGGTGCCCCTGCTGCACCTCGCGGAGGGCGGGGGCGCGGGCCCGGCTTCTGATCTTCTCCCCGAGCAGCCGGGCGGCCGCCACGTGGACGCCCTGGGGGAGCGGCGAGGGCCCGGCGGGGTGGCGACATCTGAGGCCTGCCCCCCACCACTGGCGGCGCGCAGAAGGGGGTAGGGGTTACTCCAGATTTCGCAATAAAAGGGAGGGGTCTGGACCCTCCAAGACAAGCCATTTCAGACCTCCCCCGTGGGAGAACCCTCCAAAACATCGTCCCCAGACCCCCCAGGCCCTCCAAGATAGCCTGGAAGAGACCCCCCCCCGAAATGAGACCCCCCGCCATTTATTACGACATCTGGAGTATGTTGTTCCCATCCTACGTGTAAGGACCGCATCCCAGAAATGATGTCGAGCCCCCAGAACCAGTGTCGAAAGCGTGTCGAAACAGTGTCGAAGCAGTGTCGGGCGAGCGTCTCCCAGGGCCCGACACGTGACAACCCTTGAGTTTTGGTATTTTTTTTGTTGGCAGCTCGAAATTATTCCTGGTGATCAAGGCTAAAGTAGGTTGGAGCATCATAAGGTAGGGGGAGGGGGGTGGGGGGAGGCTTCTTAGAAGCCAGCGCCTTCCAAGGAGCAGGACAGCAGGGGTGGTTCTAAGAAGCCTTCCCCCCTCGCCCGACCCCCCCCCTCTGCGCGCGACCGACACCAACCATCGATTCTCCTGCATCGGCGGAGGCGGGGGGATGGTTCGAATTTCGCCACGCGTTCGAAGAGTTCTGGACCCTGCCACCGCCGCCCAGCGAGTTGCCTAGATCGTGGATCAGCGGGGGTAGGCTTAGGATTTCGCCGCGGATCGGGGCGGCTCCTGACTTGTGAGTTGGCCAGCGCTGGAGCTTGCACGATCTCTCTCTCTCTCTCTCTGGTTCTGTCTGGACAGTGGGAGGCAACTCCTGGGAGGTCTTCGTAAGAACGTAAGTACGCCCGACTAAGGAGCCAGTGAGCTAGCTTCGCCCAAGTTGAGCCAGGAGTTGAGCACGACTGAACGGGATTTAAGAGAGAGTAAATGGAATTGTACGGGATGATGGCTGATTAGGCCGATTTCCGACCACGGCTACGTCAGCGCCGATGCTGAGTCTAACCTCTCAGGAGTAGCATCTGCATCCTGATAGGCACCCCTGGACTCACACCAAGTCGCGACGAGTCGCCGCGACCTGTCCAGCCTTATCCCCGCGCATCGACAGGAGAAGAGCTCTCGAGCCCTCAGAACCCGAAAGGGGGCGGGCCCCGGGGAGGGACCGAGGCTCGAGGTCCAAGGCCCGCGAGAGGCTCGGGAACGCCCGGACTTTTGTGGGGGGCCCCCAGAACGGTGTGGTCACCACGCCGTCCTCGGGCGACGGGGGCCTCCGGGGCCAAAAACCGCGCGGCGACGGACCGCGCGGTGAAGTCTTGGGGGATTTCCGAGGTCACCGCACGGGGAGGGAGGAGGGAGGAGGGAGGAGGGAGGAGAGGAGGAGAGGGAGGAGGGAGGAAGGGAGGAGGGAGGAGGGAGGGTCCGTCAACGCAACCGTTTCGGGACTCCAGACTTTCGGGGGGGGGGTGGGGGGGGGGGGGGGGGGGGGGGGGGGGGGGGTGGGGGGGTGGGGGGGGGGGGGGGGGGGGGGGGGGGGGGGGGGGGGGGGGGGGGGGGGTGGGGGGGGGGGGGGGGGTGGGGGGGGGGGGGGGGGTGGGGGGGGGGGGGGGTGGGGGGGGGGGGGGGTGGGGGGGGGGGTAGGGGGGGGGGGGGGGTTGGGGGGGGGGGGGGGGGGGGGGGGGGGGGGGGGGGGGGGGGGGGGGGGGGGGGGGGGGGTGTCGCGGGGGGGGGGGGGGGGGGGGGGGGGGGGGGGGGGGGGGGGGGGGGGGGGGGGGGGGGGGGGGGGGGGGGGGGGGGGGGGGGGGGGGGGGGGGGGGGGGGGGCCGTGGGGGCGCTTCCGGAGCGCCCTCCGCGGACACGGGGGCCCCCGGGGGGGGCAGGCCGAGGCTCGGCAGCCGCCGCCGCGGGCCCTACCCGTGCCTATCCCACGCGACGGCTGCTCGCAGGCCCTCTCTCGCCGCACGCGCGGGAGGGAGATGGGAGGAGGGAGGGGAGGAGGAGGAGGAGGAGGAGGAGAGGAGGAGAGAGGAGGGAGGAGGAGGAGGAGGATGAGGAAGGGGCGGAGGAGTAGGGGGGAGAGGGGAGGGAGGAAGGAGGGGGGTAGGGGGATTAGGAGGGAGGAGGAGGGGGGGAGGAGTAGGTAGGAAGGAGGAGGCAGAGGAGGAGCAGGAGGAGGAGGAGGAGAGCAGCATCGAGCTCAGGCAGCGGCCAGCTGCCACCGCACGTGCCCCTGGCATCGGACCGAGGGGCAGAGGCGCTCTGCCCCCGCGCCGGGCAGAACGCCCACGGCCCCACGGCCGAGAGTGCCAGGCGACATGCGGAGTGGGAGCGTGCCGACGTGATTCGCGGAGGCGAGCGCCGGGCACGCAGAGTCTGGAGGCCCTGCTCGCGCTGAACCTCCTCCTCCTCCTCCTCCTCCTCCTCCTCCTCCTCCTCCTCCTCCTCCTCTTCTCGTTCCCTTCCTGTTTCCCCGGCTGCCGCAGAGTACAGCCCAGCTACTGCTCGCCTTCGCCCAAGTCGCAGCGCGACTGGATTGGATGCAGCCTCTTCCAGTCAGGGGCACCAGCTCCCTGCTCGAGGCCGAGGTGCTACTGTCGGGACCCCGAGGAGGAGCCTGCGGCACGCTCGCGCCGCGAGGACGTGGGCTGGCCTCTGACACCCTGCGGATCGCTCCCCCTGAAACGACCGTGCCTTCCGATGGCTAGGAGGCTTCCTAGATGGGGTCGGAAAGAATGGGGTCTAAGGATCGCGCCGCATCGCCAATACATTGGCGATACATCGCCGATGCATCGACGATGCATCGGTGATGCATCGGCGATGCATCGGCGGTGCATCGGCGACGCCAGCGTGGAGAAAATCGGGCTCCATATCGAGCCGCATCGCCGATGCATCGACGATACGGCGCGATCCTCCGACCCCATCTACTCCGACACCATCTAGGAGGCTTAGAACGGCGCAGATCGTTCGAGACTGGCCGTTTCCGGGCAACCGACGGCGTTCGACGTGGAACGACCGTGCTGGGGTCTCCGCCGCGCCAACGCGGCGTGAACCTTCCGTCGCCGTCGGGTCAACGCGGCATAAACCTTCCGTAAGACACGCCGCACCCTCCTCCCTCTCCTCCTCCTCCTCCTCCTCCTCCTCCTCCTCCTCCTCCTCCTCCTCCTCCTCCTCCTCCTCCTCCTCCATTCCTCTTCCATATGAATACCTTCTTCCTGTCGCACCCCGAGGCCAGGTTTTAGGGCGGGCCAGGCGTTTCGCCTGAGACTTCCTCATCATTTATGACCCTGAAGCTCAAACAGTGGCAACAGTTTCACAGAGGGCGGGTCATTCTCAAAATGTGGCTCTCGCCTTAGCGTCACGCACATTTCTTCAAAAGGTCAAGAGCTTCATAGATTGAGGGCGGCCCGTTTGCAAAATGTGGCTTTCGCCTCAGCGCCGCGCACAACCGTTCTAGACATTTGCTAGAGCTTCACGGATTTATTGCGGCTCCTTTTCAAAGTGTGGCTCTCGCCTTAGCGCCGAGCACCTTCGTTTTTGTATAAGTTGCACGAGTTTCACGGATTCCCATGATCAATGTACCAGAAATTGCGTCTTGGAAGGATTCACGATTGTGAGGGGGGCGCAACAATTACGTTGATTCGCGGTGTAGAAGTCCCGGGAATGGCGTTCTGGCGCGATTCAGGGTCGTCAAGACGCAACAGTCAATTTGATCCGTAGCGCTGGAATCCCGATAACAATGTTTTGGCATGCTTCAGGGTCTGCAAACGGTTTCTTCCAACGAGGCAGTTCCCTCAGTGGCAATGAACCGTTGTGGGGGCCTATGAAGGGGGAACTTGGAGGGAGGGTGCATGCAAACATCGTTGATGATTAGTGGGCATACACTGGTCCTCCTCCTCCTCCTCCTCCTCCTCCTCCTCCTCCTCATCATCATCAGCAGCAGCAGCAGCAACAACATAATCATCATCATCGTCATCGTCATCAGTATCCTCATAATCATCAGCACCAAACATCAGCACCATCAGCATCATCATTATCATTATCATCATCAGCATCATCATCAGCATCATCATCATCATCACCATCATCATCATCATCATCATCGTCATCATCATCATCGTCATCATCATCATCATCATCCTCATCCTCATCCTCATCCTCATCCTCATCCTCATCCTCCTCCTCCTCCTCCTCATCCTCCTCCTCCTCCTCATCATCATCATCGTCATCATCGTCATCGTCATCGTCATCATCATCATCGTCATCATCATCATCGTCATCATCATCATCATCATCATCATCATCATCATCATCATCATCATCATCATCATCATCATCATCATCATCGTCATCGTCATCGTCATCGTCATCGTCATCATCAGCAGCATCCTCACCACCACCACCACCGGATGTGCCCCTCGTCTCGACGCACTCGACGCTCTGCGGTCCGACCGTCTGCCTCACAATCGCGCAAAGCAGACAGTCACAGATGCCAGGCGACCACACACGCGCATGCAGCACCGCCCCCGGCCCCGCCGCCCCAGGACACCCCTGGGCCCCACCCCAGCGAGACGGCGCCTGCGCGTGCCCTTCCCTTCCCCCCCGTGGAGCTGGGGACGCAACCCTGATCCTCTGCCTGCCGCCAGGCAGGGCCCCCGATAATTAGGTCAGCAGGAGCAAGCAGCGGGACTCACGCACGGCGAAAGCCATGCGCCCGCCAGGGGCCAGAGAGACGCTCCTGGCCCAGGGGCCCCCGCGGGGCCGACGGGGGAAAAGCCGCGGAGCCCGTCCGAAGAAGGCCCTCTGGCTCCGTGCCTGATCCACCTGCGGCGGGGGGTGGCCAGGGGTCCACCTCTGGACCGCGGGACCCGGCAGGGGCAGAAACGGGAGGAGGGGGCCTTCCTGAAGGGGCCCTGGGACACACAAATAAATACACACACAAATAACAAGGATCCCCCATACTTCCACACA